TTTATCAACTGTCATTGTTTAATTATAGTGAAAATACCCTTTCAAGGAAAGAAAAGTAAACTTCAAGCAAAGTATATTGGGGTGTGAAAAGAAGAACTTTAAAAATACTTAGATTCAACAATAGCCCCATAAAAGAGAATGCTTTAATATTAATTTGCACAATCATCTTCCATTTTACAGTTCTAATATGTTCTTCCACTAAAATGCCTAAAGGAAAAAGGCATTTAAAGAGAGATGGTCCGAGGTATAAGATTAAGAAACTCCTGCTGAAACATAACCAAATGAAGAGTATAAGAGATGAGAAATACACAATTTTGAGATGTAGTCACCATTACTAAGTATTATTGAAGGATCATCTGCCTCACTCCTTTAAAGCAGTGGGATACTAAAAAGAAGTGCCTTGATTTGGTATATTACCTATTTTATACAACTGGAGACATTTACAGCTCTTTGCCTACGTTTCAGTGTGGTAAGATTAACTCACCTTAAGTAGATTGGGGTCTCCTTTCATTTCAAGTAAATCCTGAGATATCAGAAGAGGCTCGCTTTTCCCACAGCTCTCCTGGCTGATGAGCGTGTCCGCGTAGTTGGGCTGGGGGAAGATCACGTGACTCTCCCGCGAGTCCGCAGTGAGGGACACCTCGTGGGAATAGGTCTGCAGGAAAGCCCGCACCCCGTCCACGCCCACAAAGGGCGAGGCCCCCACGCCCACCAGCCCGCCGCCCACGGCCGGCAGCAGACGCGACGCGTGCCAGCGCCTCAGCCTGAGGGCCAGCAGCACGATGACAAAGGCGAGGAAGACGCAGGAGACCGCGGCCACCGCCACCACCAGGTACAGCGTGAGGCCAGACGCGTCCGGGTCGGCCGGGGCCTTCATGCTGTCCAGGTCGGCCAGGACGTCTGGGATGCTGTCGGCCACGGCCACCGTGAGCGTGACGGTGGCCGAGAGAGGGGGCTGGCCGTGGTCCTGGACCGCCACCACCAGGCTCTGCTTGAGCGCGTCTCTGTCCAGCAGGGCCCGCGCTGTGCGCACCTCGCCCGTGTGCAGCCCCACCGCGAAGAGCCCTGGCTCGCTGGCCTTGAGCAGGCGGTAGGACAGCCAGGCGTTCTGGCCCGAGTCTCTGTCCACCGCCACCACCTTGGTCACCAGGTAGCCGGGCTCTGCGGAGCGGGGTGCCAGCTCCACGCCTGTGGACCCGTCGGTGGGGAGGGCGGGGTACAGGATCTCTGGGGCGTTGTCGTTCTGGTCCAGAATGAACAGGCTCAGGGACACGTTGCTGCTGAGCGGTGGGTCTCCACTGTCGCTGGCTGTCACCAGTAGCTTCAGCTCTTTGACCTGCTCATAGTCGAAGGAACGCAATGCATACAGGACTCCAGTATTAGAGTTGATGGAGACATAGGAGGAGAGAGGTGCCCCCTGGACCATGTCCTCAGCCAGAGAGTAAGTGACTCTGGCATTCTCAATGCTGTCAGGGTCCTGAGCAGTCATGGTTAAAACAGAAGCTCCCCTTGGGTTGTTTTCAGGAAAGTAAGTGGAATAGGAAGCATGAGGGAAGGCAGGTGGGTTGTCATTGATGTCTGCCACCTGAAATGCAATGTGAGTTTGTGTAGACAATGGTGGAGTTCCATGGTCAGTGGCAGTTACCGTGATATTATATTCTGAGACTTCTTCCCTGTCCAGAGTTCTTTGTGTCAACAACCGATGATAATTTCCGTAGGTCTTTTCAAGTGTGAATGGTAGATTATCAAGAATAGAACACGTGACAAGGCCATTCTCTCCTGAGTCACTGTCATGCACATTGAAAAGTGCAATTACTGTGCCTGGGGAAGAAGTTTCTTGGATAGAGCTGATAAGAGATGTAACAGTGACTTCTGGAGCATTGTCATTTACATCCAGAACTGTCACCAGTACCTTACTTCTGGCTCGGAGACCAGGTCCATCATGGGCTTCTACATCTATATCATAGAATCCAGAGTCCTCATAATCTAGATCTCCCAATATTGTTAGGTCCCCACTCAGAGAATTCAACCGGAAGAGCTGGGATATTTTATCTCTTACTTTACGAAAGGAATATGTTACTTCTCCATTGACTCCTTCGTCTGGATCAGTGGCTTTTACAGTCAGCAGCCGGGAACCCACTGGAGCATTCTCCCGAACACTCACATGGTACTCGGATTGAGTGAATACGGGGGCATTGTCGTTGGTATCCACAAGTGTTACATGAATCTTGGCAGTGCCTGAGTGAATCCGGTCACCTCCGTCGAAAGCAGTGAGAACGAGGTGGTGAACAGCCTCTTCCTCGCGGTCCAGGCTGCGCTCCAGCACCAGCTCCGGGTACTTAATCCCATCTGCTCCACTTTGCACGTCCAGGGAGAAATGAACATTTGAGCTGAGCTGGTAACCCTGCAGGGAGTTTACCCCTACATCTGGATCAAAAGCCTCAGGAAGAGGAAATCTAGTCCCAGGATTTTCATTTTCAGTGACTTTTATTTCCCTTTGCTCTGTCCCAAAGTTGGGTGCATTATCATTAACATCGATTATCTCCACTTCTATCCCAAAAATCTTCACTTTGTCTTCTAGAAGAATCTCCAGGCTTACTACACAGTTTGGAGATCTGTCACAGAGCTCCTCCCGGTCTATCCTGCCCGCGGTGACCAAGCTGCCGCTCCGCGCGTTCAGGGCAAAGAGCTGCGTCCTACCTCGGGAGACGATGCGCACTCCGCGCTCCGCCAGCTCCCGGGGCTCCAAACCCAAGTCCTGGGCGATGTTGCCCACGAAGGAGCCTTTGTCTAACTCCTCAGGCACCGAGTAGCGGATCTGTTCTGCCCGGATTTTCCATATGGCTCCTAGAAGAACGCAGATCCCGACTAGCCGGCTGCAGTCTGGGCGATAAGGAGCCGCCATTCCAGCACCGCCGCGAAATAGCTGTTGCTTCAGCGTTCGCTCAGTGGAGGCCTTGAGGAGCCCCAGGATCTTTGGGGTCCTAGATAATGCGCACTCACCGTTGGATGTTGGCGCTTTCGGGGTTCAGTTTGAAGCTTTCATAAAGCCTCAGGGTCAGTGCTTTGTGAGGCAGAAATTTTATGGTTCGGATTAAATTCCTGGTGTCTTTTTCCCCCCGATTGGTGAACAGCGACACTCAGAGTCCTAAACTGTTACTGCAATCTATTCTTAGTAAAGCCTCACTTTGTGTATACTTCTTTTCCATATCCTTTTTCTCCCAAAAGAGTAAGTCAAACTTCTGTTTTTATTTGCATTGAAAATCCAGGAACTACCCAAAGCTTCTGTTCAGTAAGCCTTATAAAATACTTTTCTTTCAAATAAAATGTTTTTTTTTCTAAGCATTTTTTCTACCTCCTTTAAATTTATGCACTATTTACCCTCATAGCAACTTTCAGTACAGTTTATGGTGTAAAGGACACATTGATCCCTCCACCAAACAAGGGTGGACTTGAAGAATGGAAGAACAGGTAGGCAAAAAGTGTTCAGGGAGTAGGAGTTCCGGGTTCTAGACCCAACCTATGCAGAAACAAGCTTCCTCATACGAATTGCCCCTTTATAATCAAGGCAACTTTTTAATTCCCTTGTAAGAAAATATGTACTCTTTGAGAGCTAGTCTTACCCCTGTACAAATGGGTGTGGCAAATAAAATAGATTTGGGAAGATAACTTGCTCCTTAATTTTGTATACAGAAGATTCTTAGGCGACAAGCATGTCTGTGCTTATCATGTTCACAGTGTGTCCTCAAACTTTAGAAGTGCATCTTTCATAGAGTATACACTCAAATAGTTTTCCAGTGTTTAATGAGTGAGTCACTAATGCAACTCCAAAGCCTAAAACAATAGTTAAATTATTTTGATCTTAAACATAAATAATAAAGGTAAGAAGGCAGAAGAGTTAAACTGAGCACTATAAAGAGCAGACAATGTTTCAGTAATCTTTTTCACATAGGGACTCATCCAGAAGGTATTATTTTAATATTATGTATAAGTTTACTTTAGCTTTGATTTTAGAAATTAACCAGCAAAAGGAAAGATTTTAGTATATACGTTATATACTAAACATTTAGTTGTATATGTTATCATTGCATGTTTCATAGTTTTCTTATTCATGAATACTTAATTTACTAATCTAAGAAACCTTGAGATAAAGCAGCAAGTAAGTAGTTTTCTAATTACTCCTCACATAATAATTAGCAATAGAAATTACTCATAAAATTTAACCAGACACAAAAGTCCATTAACTATTCAGAGTTTAAGAATCTTCAGATTTTGGAGAGTATATTAGAGGTGTTTTTCACAATCCTCAAAGATATTCACAAATTGCTGGGGACTGGAAGGTAAAATGAGGTATTTTGAAAAAATTTGACTCCCTTCTCAGAAATTATACTAAAAAAAAAGAAAAGGAAATGAAGGAAATATGGAAAAGGCTTTCTATTTTTTTAAATGTTCATTACATTCTTTTTTACAATAGTAACAAGTAAGATGTAAAAATAAATTAAGAATGATTAAGAAAATGATTCTTGAATGAGATTATGAAGTGGGAATAAGATTGACTCAAAATTAGTGATTCAAATGTTAAATATGACACTCTTTGCTACATGTGATAAGGCAGAGAAATGTTAACAGACTTAACTATTGGAAGACTATATTAGAAATATACACTGCAGCAAAAAGATAAATACACTATATTTGACAAAGATGAACATTAACATAGAAACAGCTATCAATACATTTATAAAGAGTAAAGCTTGAAAAAAGTAGTACCACACATCAACTAAGAAAGGGCAGTGCTATTAATAAAGGTTGTGATAGCCAAGAAAAAGCTCTGGCAAGATTTGCTGACTATACAGAAATGCTAGCAGTAAAGATTAAGAAGTAGTGATTACATAACTACCAAGACTACTAAGTAATCAAAGAATCAATGTCTACCCATCCAATGCACCTCCTCTGTCACTACCATCACTACATAATGAACAACCAAAAATAATTATGCATGACTAAGAATAAAACATAACATTTGAAATTTCAGTAGGTTTGCAAAAATTCACGTAAGAGGAATAAGAGGGGTAATATGCGATTTTGGGGTCTTCATTACTGGCACACACATCCATAGAAGGATCATTACATAGAAGATGGTGAGGGGGAGAGATTTCTGGTGTCAGGTTAGGAAAATTAAATTTGATCTTTGCTGAATGTAAGGCAACGCACAGATTGTAGGAATAAGGCAAAGTCCCCTCCTTATAGTTGGAGCGAACCTTCGATCCACACTTGGAACTGAGACCAGGCTGAAGCATCCCCCGACACCGGGACTTGAAGAGCGATGCAGGCGCAGGCCAACGGCCAGAATCTCCGCGAGGAGGAAGAGCACCGAGATCAAGGCCAAGGCCACCACCAGGTAAAACTGCAGCTCAGCCTGGGGGTCAGAGGGCGCGGGACGGTCGCTAAGATCCGGCAGCACGTCTTGGAGGCTGTCTGCGAAGACCAGGTGCAGCGTGGCGGTGGCCGAGAGGGGAGGCTGTCCCCCATCGCGCACAGCGACCAGCAGGCGCTGTCTGGCCGCGTCCCTGTCGCCCAAGGCGCGCGCCGTGCGCACCTCGCCCGTGCGCAGCCCCAGGCTGAAGAGGCCGGGCTCGCTGGCCTGCAGCACGTGGTAGGACAGCCAGGCGTTGTGTCCCGAGTCGGCGTCCACCGCCACCACCTTGGTGACCAGGTAGCCGGGCTGCGCGGCGCGCGGCACCGTGTCGAAGAGCGCCGAGCCGTCGGGCCCCAGCGTCGGGTACAGCACCCTCGGCGCGTTGTCGTTGCGGTCGCCCACCAGCACGCGCAGGCTCACGTTGGCGCCGAGCGCGGGCGAGCCTTGGTCGCGGGCCTGCAGCGTCAGCTCGAAGGCGCGCAGCTGCTCGTGGTCGAAGGCGCGCTGCGCGAACACCGCGCCGCTCTGCGCGCTCACCGACACGTAGGACCACAGCGCCCGCGGCTCCAGGTCGCTGGCCACGATGGAGTAGGAGACGTGGCCGTTGGGCCCCAGGTCGGGGTCGGAGGCGCTGACTTGCGCGATGGAGGCGCCGGGCGGGTTGTTCTCTGCCACGTGGACCACGTAGGAGGCCTGCTGGAAAACCGGCGCGTTGTCGTTGACGTTGCCAATGTGTAGGATGACGCTTGCCCTGGAGGAGAGGGATGGCTTGCCCTTGTCGGTAGCTGTGATGGTGACATTGTACTCTGCCATCTGTTCATGGTCTAGGTCATTGTCAATCACCAGCTTGTAATAATTCTTAGAGTTGGATTCTAATTTGAAGGGAACGTCTTCCTGAATATAGCATGTCACCAGACCATTTTGCCCAGAATCCTGGTACCGCACTTTAATGAGAGCTATTACAGTTCCAAGGTCTAAGTCTTCTGGAATATGGTTAGAAAAGGAAATGAATTTCAACTCTGGGGCATTGTCGTTCTCATCAACAATCTCAATCTAAACAGTACAGTGAGCCGTGTGCATCCCTCCATCTTTGGCTTCTACACCCAACATATATCTACTTGTCTCTTCGAAGTCCAGTGTGCCATTGGTTTTGATGTCGCTGGTAATTGCATTGAGATTGAAGAGGAGGCTGGTACTTGTTGGGGGCATTGAGGAAGGCATGATCTCTGCATTAATGCCCTCGTCCCGGTCAGTGGCCATCACCCGTAACACAGAGGTTCCCCAGGGCACATTTTCTTGCAGGCTAACTCTGTATGTGTCTGGCTGAAGAATGGAGCATTATCACTGGCATCAGTGACCTGGATACGGATCTGGGTGGTGCCGCTTAGTGGAGGGTCCCCACCATCCTTGGCAGTTAGGATTAAGTGGAGGAAGCTCTGTCGTTCCCTGTCCAGAGGTTTTACCAGCATTAATTCTGGGTATTTACTTCCATTGGGACTCTCCTTCGTTGACAGAGAGAAGTGTTCATTGGAATTGATAGTGTTACTTCAGTGAGTTACTTTCTACATCCGGGTCTTGTGCAGAATCCAGAGGGAATTTTACCCCTAGTAAGGCTGACTCATAGATTTCCAAGTCAATGCTTTTAGCAGTGAAATATGGTGCATTGTCATTTATATCTTGAATTGCAACAATCAACATTCATTGGGTTGTCAGCCACCAGTTCAAACTCTAGTGCACACTCGGATTTACTCCCGCAAATTTTCTCTCCATCTATCCTACCACTCATTAATAAATCTCCGCTCTGTACACTCACATTGCAAAAATCCTCTGCACTAACTCGCAGTTTTTGAGCTGGCAACTCCTGGACACTGAGCCTCAGATCCTTGGCAAGATTCTCCACCCATGAGCCCTTGGCTATCTCTTCCGGAACTGCGTACTGGATCTGCTGGGAGATGGCCCCACAAAACAAAGGCAGCAAGAAAAAAAACAGTATCCGATTCTTCATCATTTCAGTTTTTCTGGAGCACCTTTGCATTTCTTTAACTCTCTGGAAAGCTTCTTTTCAAGATGTCTCTGGGATGTTTAAAAAATCAGCGATGGCAACCTGGACTTTTGTGTTTTGAGGGAGGACTTGTTCGTTGGGTGCTAGAGGAGGTGCCATCAGTGTTCTGACTTGCACAGGACAAAGCAGGAAAATGCTCTGCCTGACATTCCGTGGAGCTGAGAACCCTTCTTCCCTTTGGTCAATAGCGGCGCCCGGAGGTTGTCTGGGAAAAGTGCATATTGCCTAGCTATCTTCAAAGTTTAAAAGTTCTTGAATCTGTGTACCGATCTTTTTATTTGTTGGAAATGACCAAATATTCAGATTCCCTTTGAATTTCTGGTTTTCCATCATTTCATGAGCACTTCCATTTTATTTTATTTTACAGTCTTTTTTCATTAAAAATTTCATAAGGCATATAAGCCATTTTTTCAGTTTAGGGGTCAAGAACATCTTCAATGATCTCTCTGTATTTGTAAACATTGGCATAACTAGTTTTGATGTAACCAAATAAGTTACCGGCTTTTTATTCACATTTTAGTGGACTACGATCCTCGCATTTTTATAAATCCATAACTTCCCTTATTTAGTATTTTAACTCTCCATATATACTTTATCAATTCACTAATACTATGCAAAGATAGAGTCTTTGCAAAAAATAAAAAGAATGAGTCAAGGACTTAGATTATTTTAATGTATTGCTCATCTTTTAAAAACATAAATAATCTTCCCATTAAGTACAGCAGAGTCCTTAGACACTCCATTTGGAACTTATACCCTGTAATCCCTGCACCGGTCTTGAGTAACTAAAACAAATACCTTTATTTCAAATGCACTACCAAATTAGATGCACTACCCAATATCCCACTATTTTGCAGGGCTAATCCATACTCATCTTACACTCCAGACAAAACTGTTTTCCTAGGATATCCTTTCCCTTGCTTACCCTACTTCATGTCTTTATACTTGGTGTTTTTTTTTTTTTACTATAAACCCTCCCCCCTTTATATTGTAGTGAATCCTTTTCCATCCTTTAAAAATATCCTTTTTAGTGAAAATTTAATGTCTGAAACCTTTCATTACCTATACAAGCAGATGGAAATTGTCCTGCTTTTGTATTCTCTGTGCATTTTCACAACACATACACAGGCTGTTTTATATGGGGTTCTTAGAAATTTCTCTTTGACCACTTAAAGTTCCTCTGGCACTAGCCATTTAATTTTTTTTCTCTCCTTACAAGGAAAATGATATTAGTATTATAAAGATATTTTCCCTAAAAAGAGATATTTCAAATGTTATGTGCCCCTTTTCCTGTGACGTACTTGCACGTTTGAGTGAAAAACACCCCTCTCTGCTTTCAGTTATTTTGTTCAGGCACTATTGAATATACCTCTTTCTAATACGTGAAGGGAGAGGTCTGTTCCTTTGCTTGAGATCTAATGAAATGCATTTGGGTTTAATTTTGGATGCTATCTTAAGAGATTTCATGGGTGAAAACAATTTCATAAATTTCAAATGAGCAAACAATTTCTGGCTCAAGAAAGTTGGAGAACTTCTGTTCCATTGTTGAAGTGGATGGTCTGGAAATCTCCCACAGAGGCTGAGACATACCTCTGTACATTTTTTAAATCCTTCTCGAGGAACAAGAAATGCCACTCCAAAATTCATAAAACAGTTTAGGCAATTGAGCTTCCAACCTTCAGACAAGAGGCTGAAATCAATACACACACACACACACCCATACATGCACTTTAGGTGTACCTAATACAGACTATAGGCCAGGTAAAACCATTTGACCAACTCCAACAATTTTTCATCCTACACTTTTTATGTCATTGAGATGAAAAGAATGTGATCCAGCTTGGAAGGGGTTAGCATCATTTTATGGAAACCCAAAATACCTAGTATTTATGATTTTTATTTATTTGTATCAGTCAGGATAGGTTAAGTAGGCTGAAGTAACAAACAAACTTCAAATAACAGGGTTTTAAAATGCAAAAGGTCTATTTATCACAGGTATACAGATCAATGTTGGGTCAACCAGAGGGCTCTTCCTTCACTGTAGTTATTCAGGGACCCCAGTAAAAGGAGCAGTCACAACGTCAAAGATTAACTTAGAGATCTGGAAATTCTCACAGTGGAAACTACAGCTTTCTCTAGAAAGAGACACACATTGCTTCCATTTACAATGTATTGACTAGAACTAGTTGCCTAGGTCCTCTTACACATAAGCAGTCCGGGAGGATCAGCCCCAGTGTAGGTCCAGAAGGAGAAATATTTAAACAAAAAGGCTAGTAACTAACACATTTCTTTGTTATCAAATGAATGTGTATTAAAGCTTTATAATAACCACACTGGCATAATATTCTTTATAATACTCAAAGAAATGAACTTACCTGACGTAGGTTGGGGTCTCCTTTCGTTTCAAGTAAATCCTGAGATAGCAGAAGAGGCTCGCTTTTCCCACAGCTCTCCTGGCTGANGCGGCTGATGAGCGTGTCGGCGTAGTTGGGCTGGGGGAAGATCACGTGACTCTCCCGCGAGTCCGCAGTGAGGGACACCTCGTGGGAATAGGTCTGCAGGAAAGCCCGCACCCCGTCCACGCCCACAAAGGGCGAGGCCCCCACGCCCACCAGCCCGCCGCCCACGGCCGGCAGCAGACGCGACGCGTGCCAGCGCCTCAGCCTGAGGGCCAGCAGCACGATGACAAAGGCGAGGAAGACGCAGGAGACCGCGGCCACCGCCACCACCAGGTACAGCGTGAGGCCAGACGCGTCCGGGTCGGCCGGGGCCTTCATGCTGTCCAGGTCGGCCAGGACGTCTGGGATGCTGTCGGCCACGGCCACCGTGAGCGTGACGGTGGCCGAGAGAGGGGGCTGGCCGTGGTCCTGGACCGCCACCACCAGGCTCTGCTTGAGCGCGTCTCTGTCCAGCAGGGCCCGCGCTGTGCGCACCTCGCCCGTGTGCAGCCCCACCGCGAAGAGCCCTGGCTCGCTGGCCTTGAGCAGGCGGTAGGACAGCCAGGCGTTCTGGCCCGAGTCTCTGTCCACCGCCACCACCTTGGTCACCAGGTAGCCGGGCTCTGCGGAGCGGGGTGCCAGCTCCACGCCTGTGGACCCGTCGGTGGGGAGGGCGGGGTACAGGATCTCGGGGGCGTTGTCGTTCTGGTCCAGAATGAACAGGCTCAGGGACACGTTGCTGCTGAGCGGTGGGTCTCCACTGTCGCTGGCTGTCACCAGTAGCTTCAGCTCTTTGACCTGCTCATAGTCGAAGGAGCACAGTGCATACACCACTCCAGTTTCAGAATTGATAGAGATGTAGTTGGAGAGAGGGGACTCCTCGATGGTGTCCTCAGTCAGTGTGTAAGTGATGTGGGCATTCTGGATGCTGTCAGGGTCCTGGGCAGACACAGAGAAAATGGAGGCTCCCCTTGGGTTGTTTTCAGGAATGGAAGCAGCATGGGAGGCATGAGTGAAGGCAGGTGGGTTGTCGTTGATGTCTGCCACTTGCAGGGTGATGTGAGTATCCGTGGACAGCGGGGGACTTCCCCCATCTGTGGCCCTCAGAGTGATGTTATATTCGGACACCTGTTCACGATCCAGGGACCTAGCTGTCACTAAGCGGTAATACTGGTCTATTGATTTTTTTAAATTAAATGGCATATTTCCCAGGACATAAACTGTGACTTGCCCATTTTGCCCAGAATCCCGGTCATGCACATTGATAAGGGCAATTTCTGTTCCAACAGTAGCCTCTTCTGGGACTGACCCAGTGAGAGAAGTGATTGTAAGTTCTGGAGCATTGTCATTCACATCCAAAACTGTGACTAGAATTTTAGCTCGTGAAAGGAGACCTGGTCCATCTTGTGCTTCAATTTTAATTTCATAGAACATAGCATCCTCATAATCTAGGCTCTTTAATATTGATATGTCTCCAGTCACTGAGTTGAGACTGAAAACCTGAGCAATTTTCCCAGGCATTTTATCTAGTGTATAGGACACTTGAGCATTGAATCCCTCATCGGGGTCAGTGGCATTCACTGTGAGTAGCCGGGTGCCCACAGGCAAGTTCTCCTGAACACTTACTCGATACTCAGGCTGAGTGAATACTGGTGGGTTGTCATTTGCATCCAGAACTGTAACTTGGATGCACAAGTTGCCAGACTGGACGGGGTCACCGCCATCAGAAGCAATGAGGACAAGCTGGTGAACTTTCTTTTCCTCACGGTCGAGAGCCCCCTCCAGCACCAGCTCTGGGTACTTTGCCCCATCAGAGACACTCTTCACAGCCAGGGAGAAGTAATCATTGGGGCTGAGGTAGTAGTTCTGAAGGGAGTTCATGCCCACATCTGGGTCAAATGCAGTCTTAAGTGGAAACCGAGTTCCAGGAGCTGTTAGTTCACCAATTTTTATTTCCAATTTCTCTGTTAGAAAATCAGGAGCATTATCATTAATGTCTTTAATTTCTATTTCTATTTCAAAAATTTTCAATCCATCTTCAACCAGAATGTTAAATTTTACTAGACACCTTGCATTCTGAGCGCAGAGCTCCTCCCGGTCTATCCTGCCCGCGGTGACCAAGCTGCCGCTCCGCGCGTTCAGAGCAAAGAGCTGCGTCCTACCTCGGGAGACGATGCGCACTCCGCGCTCCGCCAGCTTCCCCGGCTCCAAACCCAGATCTTTGGCGATGTTGCCCACGAAGGAGCCTTTGTCCAGCTCCTCCTGAACTGAGTAGCGGGTCTTCCCTGATCCGGTCGTGCACAAAGTCCCCAGAAGAGCACACAGCAAGGCCAGTCCTCTGCTGTTACTGAATCCCAGATAATTGGTCATTTCCTTTTTAGTGAATTATTTTCTCTAAATTCAGTTACTTCCAATATCCCACGACGGATTCCACTCTTATTTTCTCAAAGAACTAAGCCTTTCATGGGCCTAATTTACAGGTCACAGAGCTGGTTGGCTGACAGGGTGAGTTTCACAGCA